TAAAATCATCTCTTTGGGAAACTTTTGGGTTTTTTATTAATAAAAACTTAGAGATTATCAGAACAACCAGAGCGAAAAAATAGGAGCCACTGAAATCAGAACACATTAGGGAAAACAGATTTTTCCAAATTTTATTTCCAAATTTTCCCAAATTTTATTTCATTTTTATACGACAATTTGATGGTACAATGATAATACACGGATTGCACAGCAGTTCTGACGGGCTAAAATCATCTCTTTGGGAAGTTTTTGTGTTTTTTTTTGTTAATAAAAATTTAGAGACTATCAGAACAACCAGAGCGAAAAAATAGGAGCCACTGAAATCGGAACACATCAGGGAAAACAGATTTTCCCATTTTTTTTTCCAAATAATGCGTAGCATTTTTGAAAATGCTTCAGATACTTATAATGTCTGTATAAGAGAATAATCCATAAAAACGTTTTCTTACCGTTGGAGACTCTAGACATGAAAATCTTACATAAATCACTCTGAATTTATGCTTTTGCGCTAAACAACTGTCAGGTGGCGATTTATTTTTATGAGTAGACAAGTTATATTCATGTTTGATAGATAAAAAATAGACAGAATATCTTTGGACAAAAAAAAAGTCGTGGAAGCCAAAACTGAAACTTTTTGACTCATCAACAAATTTTAATGGAAACAGACTGACTCTTCGTACTTTGCGTTTTAAAATCTCGCACTTAGATATAAAAACCAGAAAAATATCTCAGGAAAAAAAATCTTTGAAATGTGTGTGGGTGGGGTGAAGGACTGGCAAAGAGCTAATTTTTCTCTTCAGTTTTTAACATTACCAAAGTTTTCTTCTCAATGATATCGAAATTTCGTTTAGAGGGTTTATATTACATATCATTTTTTGACTACTACCAATAACCAAAATTGATTATATAATATCTTATCGAAAACTATAACTTCTAGGGCCGAATCATAAAATGATGAAAAAAAGTGTAGTGCTTCGAACAGATCTCAGATATCTCAATGCTTTTCCATGGATGACTAAGTTATAAAGTTAAAGATTCCTAAGATCATAACAAGCTGTTTTAAATGCTATCTATTAATTTGCACTGGGAGTTTGTAACTCCCATTTTATTGGGTATTTCACGGCTTAATGGCTCAAATATAGCAGAAGCTACAGCCCAGCTGTAGGTGGTACGATCACTTCTGGTTACGGCGTTTGCACTATTTTTGATTTCTGAAAAATAGACAATAAATCTTGGCTAATACATAGCTAAAAAAAATTTGTTCAGCGCAGTTTAACAAATTTTCGTTGCGGTGCTAGCAGTTGCATTTTAACGGTAGCTTTTTTTCCTTGTGTTCATTGTTTGCGATGGTTTCCACGTTTTTTTTTCCAAAAAAATTGAACTGTTAACTGCCAAGATACGCATTTTTTTCGTAATTCGTATACTTTTCTCAAAAAAAAAATATGGCTGACTGATTTTATTAGATCAAAAGAACCATTAGTCAAACTATGGACAAATTTTTGTTGAAAAATAGCCTCACTTTGTTTCGAAAATTGTAGTTTTGGGTTGAAAAATTCTAATATTATAATCCTTTTTTAATTCATTATAATCGATTTTTTTTCACTTTTGTGGGCAATGACAATGAAACTCAATTATAATCGATTTTTATTCATGGAACTCCAATGCGGGTACATTTTGTAACGCAGTCAGTGAACTTGACGCAGTTTCACTTTTTAGGTGAGCCAAGGCGACAGTGACCTTTTCGAACTTTTTAAGGGCTAATTTTCCCTCGGTCTTTTAATTGGTTGATTGACACAATTTAATTAAGCGGGTGGCAGGTTCTGAACATTTGCACCCTTCTTCATACCCTTACCCGTGTGTACCAAGGAAACAATTTAACCAAGCATCCGTGCAGAGAAACAAAACAAGAAAAATTGAGACGTTTTCAAGACAGTGAAATAAAAAATGTAAAAGCAGAAGTCGAGTGCAGTTTGCCCCTTCAACTTAAAGAAGCAATTTGCCTGCTTTGAAATTGTTCACTTGTGGCGATCGCCAAGGGCAATAAAAACGGAGCTCAGGGAATAATGGAAAATGATAAATAATGCATGAGGTGAAAAGACTGAACTGTAAAAAGTGGAAATGGTTGATTTTTGTAGAAAATGCATTAGGAAGGTAATGTAAGTTCATAAAATATACACTTCGAAAAATTAATACAAAAAAATTAAAATTGAATAATTAATTTGGGAGAACGGGATGGTGGAAAAGACTTCGAGGTGATTCGAGCCGGACTCGCAATAACTAATTTGAATATTGGTGCATGAAACTTACGCAAAAAAGTTATTAACAAAATTGTTTAGAAAAAGAAAAAAAAATTGCCAATAGAAATTTAGAAATTTCAATTTTCCATAACATACTTCGCGCAATTTAGAATTCATTCAAGCAAAACCCAAACAACTGAATATGCGCTGGTTCACTTCATTGTAACTTCTGACTACATAGGGTCTCAGTTGTTCTGCTTGGGAATGGATATAACAGTTTTTGACAGTAACACAAACATTTTTAGGTTGCCCCGTGCTGAAACAGCGGAATGAAACCGAAAATTCCTCATGGGATTGATATCCGTATTTTTGGTTTCTATTCGCATACGTTTTCCATGGTTCGTCGCTTCTTGATATTACATACTAGAGGCCGAATGTAGGAAGAGGTACCCCTTGTATTATTTAGAGATATCCATTTTTGGCTGACGGACCCGCCCTCCCTCGAGCAATACCGCTCTCCCCTCGAGAAAATACCACCCAACCCTCGAGAAAATCCTGAGGGTAATCATTTGAAATTTTTGCAAATTCAGTTTTATGCTCAAACAATTTCCAAAAAAAATTTGCGGGCAAAAGTTTGTGCCTTTTTGTGTATAACGTAGTCCAGGCTAAACAAATGAATCAGAAGTGACTGAAATTTTGAGTGAATCGAAATTTATAATTTTTATCTTTTTGTATGACAAGATAACTATTATTCTGTCGAAACAAGTAGGCTACAACTTTCAACCACTAAATTTTTTTGGAGTAAAAAATTTTTTCTAGCCCAAGCAAAATGTTACGATTTTTATTTTTAACCATGAGTCAAATTTAATACATCAATTTTTTTGGCAAATCGTGAAAAGCTGTTCAACTGAGTGATTTTTTATTGCCAATTATTGCATGGGATTTCTTGTAAAAGAGTAAACCTTGGTTATTGTGTTTTCGAGCAGAACACAAAAACAAAAACAAAATTCGAGTTTGTTCTATGGAAAAATGATTGCCATACAATTTTCATGCACGGAAAAAAATTATAAAATTATCCAACAGTTTCGACTTATGATAAACTCATCGTAAAATTTTCATACAATTTTTGATACGCATTGAATTGAACAAAATTTTATGATATGCATTTTTCTGAAAATTATATTGTGCGTTTTTTGGTCAACCCGGGGGTTTAAACTAACCAGCGCGCCAAAAACGAAGTTGAAATTTTTTACTGCAATCAATTACGAAAATTACTCAGGGTTTAAAAATGAATCAATGCTGTAAATGATCCATTCAATTGAATTTTTATCATTCTGTGCAGCAATAGCCCTGGTTAACCTCAATACGAAAAAGACGCTTGTCATACATTTTCATACAAAAAAATGTTATCATACGATTTCATGCATTCTTCTATAGAAAAGTTGCAAAAATTTCTATTTATAAAAATTGTACACCTCAAAAGGGTTTTAAGGTAAGATCAAATGAGCACATATCGGATTTTAGTTGAAAGAGAACATATGGTCATCAGAATTTTTCTGACAAAAAAATGCTTGTCATGCATTTTTGTTTATGAAAATTGTATGATAAACTTGAATAACCGAAATCTGTCCAAAAAAGCCACGCTTTTCAACATCTGAAATTCTCAAAATGGAGCCTTCTTGCCATATACAAAAAATGCATTTCTTGTTTTAACTAAATGTGATGTGAATTTCTATTGTTTAACCTTTTTGGCATCTATAATCACCATCTAATATCAATAACTATGTTAATCTCCAATTTTAACGCCATTTAACTTGTTGGTTTTCAGAAAACTTTTGATTTTTGTGTTTCCAGGCGAAACACAAATATAAAGCTAAACACAAAAAAGTTGGATGAAAGTAATGATGCCATACAACTCCATTGTATAAAAAATGCTTATCATGCTATTTTCATGCAGTTTGTTTAATCTATGGAACGGTATGCAATTGTATGATTTTTTGCAAATCTGGGAGGGTACTGCTGAATCGACGATAATCATTGATGTAATTTGATGCAGTATCGCAGTAGTGTGTTTTTCAAAGATCCATTGCTGTGATTTTTAAGGAATCGTCTTTGAGTGAAAGCTGCAAATCGCACTATCATATGCGATACCGCTGAATCTTGTTTTCAGCCTCAAAGTATTGTTTTGCTTAGAAATTCAAAGTTTTTCTGCCAAAAAGAAGTGGTGGGGCGGATTTAGGGGGGGGGGGTGGGGTTTGATGACGATTTCCTCCTCCTCAGGGATTCGACTTCCCTACCAACCTTTGGCATTTTGGAGCAACCCGAAGTTTTTCTAAAGGCGCCTTTTGAAGCGCGCGCCTATCTCAGTCAACATTTTTCAAAAAGTACCCAAAAACAGCTTTTTTGACCTGTTTCTTCATAAATTTGCCTGAGGCGTAAATTTTTTTTGTCAAAATAGGTTTCAATAGTGTTCGAAGAGTGCTAGGAAAATCAATTTCGTCGACCTAAAAAAAAATTTTCGAAAGTTTTTTGAACATCTGCCCCCCCCCCCCTCTCATGAAAATCTTAGATCCGCCCCTGCTTCTTTTAAACTTTGAATTTTTTCTAAATGTAATTGCTAAATTGCTAAAGAAAATTCAGATTTTTGAGAAAAACGTATTTTTTTTCTTTCAGCTGAAGCTCGACCTGCTTTGACCCTGTTCCGCTGCCGCCAATAGATTTGGGTTTGCACTATAGAGTTTCAATTTAAACCTTGTTTTCTAGGATCCCTTCGTTTTAAACCCTCTCTCCCAGTCAAAATCCTGGACAGCATCCAGTCCGATCCCCTATCTGCCCCAAGTGCCCCTGACGAACCAGGGCCCAACTGCATTTCATCCAGCACCTCGACCCAAGATGAAGAATCAGAAGACTGTCTTTACCTGGATCTGTACAAGCCCCCCTCTGGCCAAGACTTGTCCCTTGCGGTGATTCTGAACTACCCAGGGAGGGGTGACCGAGAAAGGAGGGGAAGTTTTGGATGGGAGAATTTCGGACCCGAATACTTCACCACTCTGTGCAGATGTGCCGTTGCTGTTGTCAACATCAGGTTTTAAAATGGTTTATTTTCGAATTCCATTAAAAGCGATTTGAAGATGAAACTACAATTCAAAAAAATCAGGTTGAAATTTTTACAAGTTATGGACTCAAAACCTAAGTGTGCTTCTTATGAAAAAAAAACAATGATATACGGTTTTACCTAACCACTCTATTTTGATATTCTGACCTAACCACTCTATTTTAATATTCTGACCTGAAATTTTATTTTCAATTTTGACTGGAAAAACTGAGAGCCAGTAACTATTCAACATATGGAAGTTTTTTCCCTCTGTTGCTCCTTGCATTGATTGATATTTGACCGACTAAGACTTGGAAGAAATGTAATAAATTATATGAATAATTAAAACTTCAAAAAATTCACTTCAATGATTTTTATGGGCAGCTTCGATTATTATTGAACAAAAAAAGAAGGCTGAACAACTTAAAATGAAAGTGCACAGGGGCGGATCTAGTTTTTTCTCGAGGAACAGTGGCGGTTTTTCAAAAACTTTTCAAAAATTTTGCCGGGCAATTTTCTCTGACCTCTTTCAAATCTATATAAAGACCCTATTTTGAACACCATTTTTGCACCGCCGGCAAATTTTTGAGAGAAAAACAATCAATCGTTTTCGGCACTTTTGAGAAGGGCTTGACCAAAAATTGCGTGTTTCGACAGGCGCTCCCCCTCAATAAAAATTGGTTTTTATTGGTGCCGGAATCGCCTTTAGAGAACTTTAAGGGTCAGTCAGCCGGCCCACCAAAAATGAATGTCACAAAATAGTACCAAAAGGGGAGCCTTTGGACCGTCAGGGGCTCGAATGTTTGAGGAAAGGGACATCTATTCCCCCTCCTCCCATAAATGTGCCAATGAAACTGAATATAACATATAGCCCCGGACACTCGAACTTCAAAGAATCCTTTTCTTAGTGGTAATTAAAGAAAAAATGATCTATAAAATAAAAACATCGCAAAATGCAAGTTCTTTAAAAGTTGAAAAATGCTCACTCATACAAACAATATGGAATTGAATTCATAGCTGTACGCAAAAATAGAGGTATTAATTTTATCGACTTGAATTAAAGTCATAAACGCAAGGCTCTGGCTATAAAAAAATGAGCCGCTGGATATTTTCTAGGTCATTTATATGTAGATCATACTATAAGAATCAATACTAGGTTTCGTCGACCTAAATAGATATAAGATGGTGTAAAGGCAATTGTTGAACTTAGAGTTCAAAGCACGGTCACACGACATAAAAATTGCACAATTTTTATTTCAGCGAGCAGATGAACAATTTTCTTTCATCACCTTTTGTTTTCTCATCACCTTTTGTTTTCTCTTTTGCAATTCAAAAAATAGTGTTGAAGTTTTGATAGATGCTAAAAAAACTAATTAAAAGGACTTAGCCAGGCAAAAATTTGAGAAGTCTTGTTTCAAAGGCAAAAAAAAGCCAGTATATCATAGCTCTTTTTCGAAAAATTCTTGCTGCTGAATCATCCACACAAACAATAAAATCCATTTGAATTTGTGGACCAAAATAAGTTCATTGAGAAGCAGCTGAGCTTGAAGTACTCTCTATGTCGCTGAAAAACGACAGAAAGTAAAGATTTGAAAGAGTTACTTGGTCCGGCGTCAAATAACGGTTAAGTGTTAATGAATAATTTCCTACTGATAATCGAATTCGGCATTAAGCAAACAAAGGGCAAAGAAAAATTACTAAACGGATTCATGTAAAAACTTTTTATTAGCAGTATGCTGTTTCTAATTTTAGTCAAATTTTCTGACATAAGCTCCTGAGAAGTTTCAATTTCTCTGTCGTTAAAATAGATATGACCATTTTTCGACGCCGCACCAATTATTTTTTTCAAATTTTTTTGTCTGTCGTTTTTCGAAGGCATAAAGTGTAATTCAAGATCATCAGCTTTCATAAGAACTTATTTGACCCTATAAACTCAGATGCGTTATATTGTTTGCGAGGATGTTTCCACAGTAAGAGCACTTCTAAAACTAGTTACTTTTTGCATTCAAAACATATTTCTCAAAACTTGGCCCGGCTAAGTCCATCCAAATAGTTTGATCTAGCATTTGTCAAAATGTGAACCCTACATTTTAGGTATTTGCAGAAAAAAAACATAAACGGGAAGAAAAAGTTGTTCATTTGCTTTTTGAAATCAAAAAGTTGCAACCTCTTTGACTTTGATTGCTTTTAATACTTTTTCGGAGACTTGGATTTTTCTCCAAACTCATCCCTCTAAAAATAGAATCCGATGGTTTTTTGAATGTTGAAAAAGAAAATTTGATGTTGTATACCATCTGTGAAACTATACAAGCACTCTAACTAATGATGGATATATTTTAAACTTTCTTTTTCAATCTAGGGGCAGAGGTGCACAGGGTTTCTTCTCTCTTCCCGAACTTGGGTACCCTGGAAATCTCGGCGAGGGCGACATCGCGACAGCCCTGCAGTTCTTAATGGAGAACAGAGCCAAGTTTGCCCTATCTAGGGACAAAGTTCACCTGGTGTCACAAAACGAACACAACTCCATCGCTTTCAGGTTTGCTCAAAAACTTATGCGGATCACTTGTTGGCAGATGATAGGATTGAATACGATCAAATTAGCTGAATACTCAAATCTATCCAATTTTTCGAAAAATTCCACTATTTCAAGTTGCCAACTTAGCTGCTGCGCCTATAAATAATTCCGACCATCTTTGCCATCATTTTGTGTAATTTAAGCAGTTTTAATGTAGCAAATTGCTTATATGAAATTGCTTTATGATGTTTTTGAACAAAAACTGCGTTGCTCCGCTAGTTTGAATTTTTAACAGAGAGAAAACATAGATTGGTGCATTTGATGTGGACTATTTCTTCTAAGCAATGAATCTTTATTAAATTACCTTGCGATAAATTGTCACTTTTATAGTTTTGAGGACTTGTCGCTAGCTCCGGAATTTTCACCAGCGACGAATTGTCGCCATACACTATATATCATCTAAAGAAGAACAGTTTTTTTCAGGAAGTTTACTTTATACCATTGTTCTTTCATCTTAATTCTGGAAACTGTATAATTCTTTTATAATTGCACAATAAAAAATTTTTAAATGGATAATCTTTAATGGAGATCGCATAAGATATTCCATCAGACAGGTGATTATCTTAAATATGAACGAGACTTCAATGATCTTAGACATCAAACAGAAAAAGAATTATGGCTAGAAACTTCCGTTTTTTCCAAAGTTCGGAGAGGTTGTTTGCGTGCAAAAGCGTATGGCTTACCGATTTCCTACTTATATATAGAGAGAAACAACTTTTGTGGTTAGAACCTGTAATTTTTTATTAAAAATCTATTTTCTATGATCATATTTTGAACGTAGCTGAAAGAGTTCCAGTCCCCACTTTTGAGGCTAATTATGCTCTAATTTTTCGAGGGACGAGTCTGGAGAAAAATCATATTCTTATAGTTCTTTTTAAATACTTAGGCGTTATTTGGTATTATAATTAGCAGCATATTTAGCACTAACATAGAGCCAAATTTTAGTCCGTTGATAAAGCTGTAGTCGTCTAAGATTTTCTAGCCACCACCCAAAATAGAGTAAAAAAGTTCCGACATTTGTTTAACATGCCTGAAGTCAATGACAAAAAAGCGTCGAATGTTTTTTAAAAAAGAAGTAGTTCACTTTTTTAACAATTGAGTGAGAAGAAATAAGTTGTCTGACTTCAAATTGGAATGAATGCTGATCTGGATTAGACTGCCACTTACATAACGAATTCGAATAAATTTTAGCACATTTTTCAATCCGGTGCCTTTTTTAAATCCCAGGTGCCTTTTCTGAACTAGAGACGTCAATATATTTTCGTTTGCATAAAAATTGGCTAATTGAAAAACTGAATTTGTCTGGAGAAAATGTTTTTTCACTTCCTTCGTAAGACGTATTTCCAAATCTTCAAACCACAGGTGATAATTCTTTATGATTGTGAGCTCAAGGCATTGGCATTTTCAGATTGTAGAAAAAATTTTGTTAACAAATGCTTTTTAAAAAGTCAAAAAGGGTCTTTATAAGAAAGCTACCCGAGCGCAAATATTTATTCTTTTTTCCACTGGTGGTAACAAATAGGTGTGGCAAATCATAAATTTATTTTGTAAATTGCTAGACCAATTTTATAGCTCCGTATTTTTTATTTTTCTTCTTCAGCGGAAGAAAAATTATGACTACCATCAAAATCTTCTGGCTTATAGTGGATAGTTTTGAACCGAAAAGTTTAGATTTCGTCAGCTGTTTGCAAAGGTTTTGCAGCTCAGGAAAAAAATTAATAAAAACCTTGCAAGATAATAAATGTTAATAGCGAAACAACGTAAAGAAAGCCTAGAACTTTTCGCCCAATAAAATCTATAATTGGTGTCAATTAGCATAAATTTACAAAGTTTCAGGTCTTTTTGTAAGTTGTACGGTAACTTTTTGAGCTGTGAATCTAACGGAACAAGTTTGAGAATCATAAAAAGGGCCATTACCTACTCAAAAAAGTAGTTGATCAGCCCCGCCGACTTCAACAAAGTTATGAGACAAAACTTGGGATATTTTTTCAGGAAAAACTTCACTAACTTTGTGGGTAAAATATTCATTCACTAATATATTAATACGAAACAACTTAAATTAGAAAACATACAAGTCTTTGAAGCATTTTCAAAAATTTTGAGAATTTTTGTAAGCCATATCAAATAGTTCAAACTTGCACTCTGCGATTTTGATCAAACTTTGAGATTTTGAGTTTGGTTTATTCCTCCATTTTACATTATTACACAAGTAACATTAATGATACAACAATGAAGGTGAAATGATCAGATGAAAGCAAACTTTCAAAAGGGTTTTTGACACTCTGAAAAATTCTTGGTGTCTTTTCTTGGGTAATACACTTATTATAGATTATTCTTAGGTTAAATGATTTTTGAGGAACGGTTAACATCTTCAAGAAAAGCTTGACTACAACAAACCTTTTTTTAAAAACTGAGCTCACTTTTTAAAAAAGACTTTTGCTTGCTAAGCATTTCATGAAGACACTAATGGCTCCTCAAAACATTAAAACATCTTCAAAAGGTGCGCTAAGTAAAAAAAATGATTGGTTGATAACAGCTGAAAACCGATAAAATAGGCCAATTTTAGAAAAATGACTTAAAAAAATTTTAAAAAAAATCGTTCAAAATTTTGAATTTTGAAGTTCAAAAATTCGATCTTTGAAACTTTTGATTCCCAAATATGCGCTAAAAAAATTTAAAAAACAACTTAATTTGACTAAAACCACGTTTTCATGGCTTTAAATAAGCATAAATAAGCTTTTGTAAGCCTGCTTTTGTAAGTCACCTCATTAGCGATAAATTGGACAAAAAGTCAAAAATTTCAAAAAACTTAAAATTTTAAAAAAATTCTTCGATTTACGACTAACTGGGCTTTTAGATGATATATCATGCAACCCATTTCGAGAATTTTTTGGTGCTCGCTACATGCTTCGACAGTCTCGACTTATTTCGGATACTTTTCATTTTTCTCGACCAAAAAGAAATGTGCTCGACTTTTGTCAGTCCATGCCGTTAGATAAGTTTTTTAGGTGAAATATTAATTCAAATCGATAACACTGGCAAACTACTGCGATCGAGCGGTTTCAAAAAAGGCAGCCTCATTTTGAAGAGAACATATATTTTTTAATTATTGTTTAATTTTATGCTTTTTTCTATAGTCAAACAATTCAGTACTATTGGCAAAACAAGCGATCATGCCCTATACAATTCTTTTTTTAAATTCTATCTCGTTTCAGCTTTCTCATGAGCAATGTGAACAAGTACTCGTTCCGTTCTCTCAGTATGTTCGGAAATCATCACTTCACCGAAGACCCTTTCTACACGCAGTCGGAAGAATCAGTCACTGAAAAATCTAGACTCTTTATTTCCAGTTGCACTGAGCAGACAATGAACAAAAGAGCTCTACAAAACTGTCTTCATGGTAAATTTTCACTATTTTTTTTACTGAAGTGTTTTCTACTTATCTTCAAAAAAGTTCTTTTCTTACATTTAAAATTATTTATGTTCTTTATTTCAAAGGTTTTGGTGGACTTTTGAAATTTAGCAGTAACGCTAAGTCTTGGATGTCTTATAGTTGTCATCAAAAGTTTTTATGATTCTCAAATGAATGTTGTTCAAATTGTATGCGGGGGAAAAGAGCAACTTTTCTATTAGTCTCGTGATCTTTTACGCCTTACTGTTTTTTTAAACCTTCATTTTCTGAAAGATATGATTTTTACACCTTGCTCGCGTAATATCTCTCAGCAAATAGAAAAAAACCAAATTAAACCCTCCTTAATTCACTACAACGAAATTGGTCCATGCCATTGAATTGAATAGATGAAGGGAATTTTCTGCTTCCACGGCAAAACTAAGCCAAACGCAAGTAAACATACAAAAAGTCTGGTCGTATCAGAGCTAAGTCTGAATGTTCCGACCGCGTTTAATGCTAGTGAAATTGTTTTTTTTTTCAAATAAATAGAAATTCATAAAAAATGAAAACATTTTAAAAGTTCTGAAAATTGAAAACTATCTCCCCCAACAATTATTTAAAATATTCACACTAATGCCTTTAGGTTCTAGTAAAGTATTATTCAGACCAAAAAGTTTGCAGCAATTTGAGGTTAAACAAGTTCTGAGCCCAATTAAAGTGCCGCTTACGCGTCAATGGCATGCCCCGGTTTGAGCTTTCATAGAGAGTAATCCAGTGTCCTTTGGGAGAAAACATTTTATTGATAGTTGAGTGATGTTTCTTCGATAATTCAGTCCTGAAATAAATTTTTGTCAACGATGAATCAGAAAAAAAGTCAAATTTGATTGTGGGACACAGATTGTCGTAAGCACATAGTATTTTTGCAAACTGCGCATTCAGTAGTCACTTTCAACTTTTCGCAAGAAAGTAATGAAAACATATAGGACTATAGTGTGGACTCTATCCCCGTTGTGAACTTTAAATTTTTGTTCCATCGCTGGTTTTAGGGTTATTTACAGAGATGAACGTGCACTGAATCACTGCTGTCCAGCTGTCCATATTTTGGTGTCCCACTCTTTAACCTCACTTTATTTAACCCCCAGTTTTTACACCCCCTACTTTATAACCCCGTAACAAGTTAACCCCACAATAAGTTAACCCCGTTTTATTACCGAACTTTGCTTCAAACTGAATCCTTTTTTATAACTACAGGAAAATTCTATACAAGTTTACCTCATTTCGATAGCATTTCGATTAGTTAAAGAAACAAGACTGCTCGTAAATCAGGGCATTTTGTACATTATCTAAGTGCAAAAAATTTGAACCGTACGAAATTAATACGACCAATTAGCTAGCCTCCATTCAATTTGGAACGATTTTGTTGTGCTGGATAATTCGCCACGCATAAATATTTCGCGTTAAGTTTTCAATAATATGAATAAAATTTTCGAAGCGCGCATAAAATAGTTGACAGCATGGCCAAATTAACAATTTTTAAACTACCAAAAAATTGCATAAAATGATGGGAGGAAAGTTTTTGGTAAATTTTGATTTCGGGGAGTCGCATTATGACTAAAGCATTATGAATAAACTCTTAATTTAGTCAAAAACATGGAAAATTTGGCAGTTTTGAAACACCCAGAACTTTACAAAAAATAATCGGAGGTAAAATATCTTTGTACATTTGAACTCAAGAAGTTGATATCTTTAATGGGGAATAAAACAATTTTGTTGAAAATTATTGTTTTGATCGGTGAAAATTGACTGAATAAAAAAACCACACCGAGCATAAATTTTCTGTTTTCTTCGAAAGACGGAACATTAAACCCTCATTCACGCGTTTAGAACAGAGATAACCTTTATGTTGCTCATTGGAAGCAACACAAGACTTTCAAAAAGTATACATAAAATCATACTGCCCTCAAAATCACACTTGAATGTTTGTTTTTACCATTCTATGAGTTATTATGTATTTCGTTTGCTCTCAAAAATTTTCGCAATTAAAGTTTTGATGTTTACCGACGCTATGGTTCCTAATTTCTTTCAAGTCAGTTACACTGTAGTTCTACAAATTGGTATTAGAAAGGGGTTAAATTGTAGCGTGGTTATCTAATTCTGGGGCTATATGAGAGGGGGTTAAGAAAAAAGTGTTAAAAAGCGCGGGGTGATTATAAGCTTGGGAACCCATATTCTTACACAAAATGATCACAAGTGAGTTATCTTGCTAAATTTGAGCCGAGGACTCTAATGTTTTTCAAGAATATCAAAATTGGTCTGAAGAAAAACTACACTTCTTCGAAAGTCAGAACAATAAGCAATAACCCAAATCTGGTCAGCCAAATTGATATTCAAACCTTTTCTGAAATTCTGAAAAAACTACTTTTGAGAGTTTTTCTGATCCGCAGACAAACTTTCCGAGAAAAGCATGTTGTGGAAAATGCAGCTCAACTTTTCAGTTTGTTTGGCGCACCTAATTGTAAAGTTAGTTTGAGCTTAAAAGAGCTCCTAGAGAATTCTTCTAGTTGATCTGCTAAAAACTTTTATTGCCACAAAATGGTAATAAATACCATTTTAATGGTTATGAATTCCATCTTTGAAATTCACTAGAAAATAATCTTGGACTAGAGGTTTGGACACTAGCGAAAAAATTGGACTAGCGGAACCATGGAATAGCAGGAAAATTGAAAAGTTTTTGAATGATCATACTTGGAGCAAGACACTTAAGCTGATGAACAAAATTGTTAGCACCCATCAGCAAGTTAATTACCACAGCAATACATTTATTCACAGGAATCGAAGACATCCGAGGTTACTACAAAAATGACTCATCCTCCTTCAAATGGGGCCCAACTAGACTAAACGGGGCAAAAGAGAGTGACTTTGAGAACAGATTGAAGAAACTGGGCGCTATGAGGAAACAGATCAAGATATTTCACGGAAACTCTATGGTCAGCGGGCTGAACTTGATCGAATCTGGAAAATTCCAGAACACTTTTCTGGATTCGCTGCATCCCAACCTGTATATCCGAAGTTAGTTTTACTTCTCGCTTTTTTGGATTAGCGATCTGCCAATCATACTGCTGTTAATAAAAAAAGACTCATTTTTAGTTGTCTAACAATTCGAAAAAAAAACTGAAGCAAATGGGGGAGGGGGGACTTACTTCTTGAATAATTCACTTCCTGTTTTCTTTTTTTTTGCATATGGGTTGCTCGGAATCATTCAATTTTTTTTCAAGTAATCTTATACAGGGCGGATCCAGGATTTTTCGAGGGGGGGGGGGCGGATTTTCAAAACATTTTCGAAAATTTTGACGACCTTTTTTTCTAGGTCGACCAAATTGATTATCTGAGCTCTCCCAAACCACTATGAAGACCTTATTTTGAACAAATTTTCTGCGCCGCAGTCAAATTTTTGAAAAAACAGGTCAAAAAAGCCGTTTTTGTTATCTTTTTGAAAAGATTTGAAAAAAAACGCGTATAACTTAGTATATATTGGCGCCTTTAGAAAAAATTTAGGTTCTAAAATATATATCTCAAAATAGTACAAAGGGGGACCCTTTGGGTCGGCAGGGGGCGAATCCTTCCTTGAGAAAAAAACGTCCGTCTCACCCCCCCAAACCCCCCCCCCCCCCAGCACCCCCCCCCCCCCCTTGTTAGTATGTTATGGAAAATTGAAATTTCTAATGTGGCATAAATTTTTGATAAAGTTTTTTGTTAAATTTTTGTAATAACTATTTTGCGTAGGTTTTATACGCCAATATTCAAATTACTTACAAACGCCCCGCACCGATTAAATTTTTTTAGCTCTCCGAAATCCAGTAGTAGAGCCAACAGTTCCCTTCGATGTCTATACCAAAATGCTAAATGCCACTCTTTGTACTCTGGACACCCATGGAAATCCAGGCATCCTCTCGCCGCTCCAGTGCAACATCATCATCCAGGAGTACCTGCCACGAGACAACCTAATCGAGTCAATTGACCGAAAGAGCGCACTTAGACTAATCTCAGAAGGCCTTTTCGATCGACAGCAGAAAGCATTTCTTCATCGACTGAATTTAATTTCAAAGTATTTCGATACTTTCGCCTACATGATTGATAAGAGTTTGATATTGGAGAAAAAATACAGAGAAGCAAACTCGCTAGAAGTTGATTATCTTTTGGACACAGTTCCAAACTTTTCGACAAAAGATCAAAACGGAATTTCGACGAAGATTAATATCGTGTTGGCTAATCTCCTCGCTTCATCTATCAATAACCAGTTAGTAATTTTCGATTCTATTAAAGAAAATAAAAAGTAACATCGTATTAAAAATCTGTAATCATGCACTTTAAATGAATTATTTTGTTTCTGTGTTTTCTAATGTAAATACCAGTTGATTGGTCAATAGGCTAAGCAAAAGCTCCCGAGAGTTTTTTTCGAGGCCACATCTAAACCATAATCCAGCGCCAGTTAAAGGGAACCGAAAAATCCGGTTGACGCAAAGTTATTATTTGATGAAAATTTACCCGTATTTACTGCAAAACTGCTTGGTGTAATATCGGAATGGCTGCATTAGACTAGACTATTCAGCCCAGATTATACTTTTTTAAATTAAATTCTATTTATTTATTTTTGAAGTGAATGGTCCGGATCTGATTAAATTGTTCTTTTGTTATCCAGAGTCACTTCTTACTAAATCAATATCCGGGCACCCCATTGGAGATAGTAGATTGTGTTCTTTGGTTATAATATTTATTCATGGGGGTGTTTCTTAGTTTTTCAACATAGGAGGATCGTAGACAAGGTTTTAAAAATATTTAGAGAAAAGAAACGACTGGAAAGATTTAGGGCGCGACGTGTTGGCAGCTATAGCCATGTTTTCTAGACAGGTGTGCGGCTTAAGTAGCCACCAAAGATACCTTTTGAGGATTACTTAAAACAACGAAAAAACAGTATTCGAATTCGATCAATCACTTGTTTTAAGACAAAAATTTCTTGCAGGTCGTAGGAATAAATTTCTTGATGCCGAAAAAATGAAAGTTTGCTCAAAACTAATCTGGCATCTGGAAAATAATCTTGAAGTATGATTATGATTATGAATAAATTTTTGCTCTTTGCAAATCGATAAAATTCCATCCAAAACATTTTGAAAAAACGCCATAAGATTTTGTAAGAAACCCTGTTCGATCTATGATTGTTCCAGTTCTTTAAGTACAACATGTTAACATTTCATGACATATAGCTAGCTAAACCTCCTTTTTTTTCCGTAATTGAGATATCACTAGACAGAGGTACTGTATATTTAAAAAGTCTACTTCAAAATCTAGGCCAAATTTAAGTACACAGTAAGTATAGCTGCGCAGTTAGTGCTTCATGAAGAGTGTATTTCTGCCTTCAATTGCAAACCTGAATTTTTTGCATGCGCTTAGGGATTGAACGGCAAATTTATGTTAAATTTGCGCAATCTATACATTTTAGTATGTTCATTGTAGTTAAACATTTTTATATTACAAAAACTACAACAAAAACATGGTAGAATCTCTGCGGCGTTATTTAAATATTTTTAACTTTTTGTAAATTATTCCAGAATCCAGGACCCTTACTACTTGCAGTGGAATTGGCCAAAGTACCAGAGCAGTACTGGCTTCCTCGTCCTGGCCATAGTGCCCCAGGACCAGCTATCTTCCAGAGTGTCCATACTCCCGGTCAAGGACTACAGACCCAGAGCCAAACGGTTCTGGACAGGCATACTTCCCACTCTATCAGGTAGCACTAAGAAGTAATTTATTAAGATGATTCTAAGTAGATAACAATAAGGGTGTCAACAGTTTAAAATCTCCCAGTGTCGAGAAAAACCGGTTTGAATTTTTTGGTTTTTTGTCTTAATTCGAGCGAATTAAGCAAGCGAGCAGGCTTAAAATAGCTTATGTTAAAAGCCGAAAAGCTTAAAATAGCTTACTTTAAACGTAAAAACTTAGTTTTACTCTAGTAAAGACATTTTTTTAGTATGTTAGCGCCTTTCTTGGAATCAAAAACTTGAAAAAAAAACTGCAAGAAAAATTAAAAAATCTATTTTTTGTTTTTCTAGTTAAATTCTGGATGCATTTTTTTAACTATGGTTGTCGAATATGCCGAACTATTAGGTTTTCCTTCAGATTTTTTTATCACACCACGCCAAAAAACGACACTAATTGAAAAAAAAAACGTTTTTTTTATGACTATGGTCGGAACATTCTGTGCTACTTGCACAGTAACTTTCTATCCTTGTTTTGAAAGTCAATGAATGAAAAAAGACACTTATTCAGGCGATGCAGTTTTGTATTGTCAGGGAAAACAACTAAAAAAAAACAAGTGGCAGTTTTGGTAACACGAGAGCAACATTGGCATCAGAACAAATGTAAAAAAATGTAAGACATGTTATTTTTTCTATAGAATGAATACAAATTTGTGCTAGAAATTTTTTTTATCCCTTTTTTATTGAAATCTCTGTGCTCAAATATACATTTTACGAAAAAAATTATTTTGCAGTTGAAGTACTTCAAAGTGTCCGTGTTGAAGTTTTTGCACCCAAAATATCCAAAAAACACAAGTGTTTTTTTTTATAAACAGAACTTTTTTTGTTTTTGTATGCTAAGATACCCCTAAAAAAGTTTTATTCAAACAGGGATTTCCTATTTTGTCTATATAACTCGTCAATCAACTATTTAATACACTAACTAACAGAAACATCGTATATGGTATAAAATTAAAAGGCACAAGTAGAGCTGAAGCTCGGGACACAACCAGTTTTTAGCGAGGCACTGAAATTTCTGTTGCGACTACTCAAGGAAATACAAAAGAGCGACGTTACAGGTCATGATCAGACTGTGTGTTCGAACTAGTGCAGTTCAGGTTTGCCAGCTCCTCACCAGTCGATGGCAAACAAAAAAATCGATGATTGGAGACTTCGTGCTGAGCGTTAAATATACCTCTTTGACAAGTCAAGGACAAAATTAATCTTGTCTTGTCAATTTTCAGCAACCTCGGTGCAGGTTGTTGAATAATACAACCTTCAACAACCTGCACGGAGCAGTTTTATGAGTAAGGTCGACCTCCTAGACGCACAAGACCACAGACAGATGGGACCAAAGACAGGTGATTAGTGTTGTCCAGCAAACTACATTGTTTGAAAAGAGTCGTACAGAAACTGATTGAGCCCCCCTAATGGCGAAAATGCTCATGAAAGTTTATTAAACAAACGTCAATGACTTTCGCCATTTTGTCAAACGATTGGAAAACCAATTTTTATTACACTGTGACTGTTTTCGCCAAGGAACAAAGCATTTGTTTCCTTTGTTTTTTATCACCAATTTATACACTGCTAGAGCATGATAAGAGTTAGAGTTAGGCCAACTAGGATTAAAGGCTGGAGTTAAAAATTGAGATAGAACCTGAGGTTTGAACTGAGGATTGAGAAGAGGTAGTGATTGTTGAAGAATGAATTGAGTAAGTAAAAAAATGAAATCACAAACTAAGCGTAACAAAAGTACCAGTTATTAATTACTAATTAATTAATTAGTTTGTGATCACTAGTTGACCTTATTCGAGTTTAATTAGTTTTGAATATTTTAATCAGGTTTGATCTCCAAACTGATTCGCCTCATGTATTCTGTCTGACCTTGAGATGGTCTGACCTCAATAGAGAAATTGAATAGATTTTAGATTGCAAGAAAAAGCAGTTTAAAAGCAATTTTTGTCAAAGAAATCACTCGATTCTTCTTTTTTCAACTTTTTGACGAAGGAGAACAATAAATTTTTGCGCGATAATATCCAACATAGCTAATTATTACCGAAAAAAAAGTCTTTCACAATCGATAAAATTAAACAATTCAAACGCCGTTTTTGTGTTCAATGTGCGTCAGAGATTAGACAAATTATGAAAAATTCATGACGAACTGAAAGTCATAAAATCTCTTCCGTTAATTTCTCTGCTTTCATAGGACTTGCCGATGATAGTAGTGTGCCCCTCCCACTGAAGCTGCATTTTATTCGAAGATAGGTGGTTAAATATCAGCACCGGATAAAGAACACCTGGCTATATGAATACCTATATATTTTTTTAATAAGTGCAAAGTATTCTTAAGTATTGCAGGCCAGGAATGGATTAGGAGGAAATGTGACCCTCCCTTTATCTCCCTTAGGACACCCTATTCGCTAATATTTTCGGAGGTCTGTTTTGACTTACCGATTCTACCATTTTGAAAAATGCAGCAAGTGTCGCAAAAACTGACAGCCAAATTTAATTTTAAATGGATCTTGTTTTTTTTTAAGAAAACTAATAGGACTTTCATTGATTTAGATTTAGATGCACCAAAAAATAGTATAATCGTTCTGTCAAAAAAACTTCAGAAAACTTAAGCAAATGGGGTACCATTAGGTAGATTTATGTGGTCAAGTTTTTTCATGATCCACCCCTCAACAGCTATTCCCTTCAACTGTATTCAATAAAGTAAAAATATTCATAGCAAGGTGTTTTTTTTCCGATAATGACTTTTTACCACCTATCTGCGAATCTGCAGTAAAATGTTGCTTGTTTAGTCCAAATTTAGGTCAGTTTTCCAGATCAAATCATTTTTGATTTTGGTCATTTCATTTCGTCGATACTCAGTTTATATCAAAAATTATTTCGATTTACTCAGCTTGAACGCGATAACATTTTTTTAGCTCCAACTTCTCATGAGCCCTGAAAAACTGTCGTCAGAACAATCATATTAAAATTCGTTCAGTCTTTACTTGGATACTGAATGATACTATCGATAAATTATCTCAACAATGTAATTTCACAGGTTGTACCACAGGTAGATGCCCAAACTTTGTCTTGGGCTTTTCTCCAGAGGTCTTGACCTTCGTGTTTTGAAATTCCCAGCGAAAACAGTTGAAAGGATTGAACAAGCAATGACAAAGCAATGAGGAAGAAGTTAAGGTCTCAGCCTCTCAGTTGAAAGGGCAGTAGTTCGAGGCCCGTTATCCGTGCTCGTAGCATACGAGGGTGAGGCAACACTCCCCTGCCAGAAAATTAACCAAAAAATATCCTGATGGCTAGCCGTTATGAGGTGAACATTTCGTACGTTAGTCATTTTCCTCATGGATTAAAATGGTCTTGGCTAGTAACAAGCTTTCTTCACAAGAAAAAAAAACAATTAATTTCAATTTAAAACTTTCAAGAAGGCACAAACAATTTTCCTCGGCTGTATTTTGACTTTTAGTCTCTGAGGAGAACTATAAAAATAATTATGGATAACAACAAGACTGCAAGTAAATCAGGGCGAGGCATTGAATTCTCCGACTACACTTTAAAGCCATTTTGAAAATTTTTTGAGCTGAAAATTTTGCGAAATAATAATAAAAAAGAACAAGTCTGCTCGTATCAGGATGAGGCCTTTTAAGGTCTATGCAGCAGTAATAACAAAAACTATAGTTTTTTTAAATTAAGATTTTTTGTAAAAATATCCCCCACACGCCATTTTAAGTACAAAGTGATAGATTTTGCTCCTATTAACGAATCAATTATTGCATATAAGCTGCCATGAACCAATATGGAACGATTTCTAAGGCGGAATAAATCTCCGCTTACGCGTTAAGAGCGCGAAATATATTTAATATATTAGTTAATTGTCCCCGAGCACAAAAATTCCGTTACTCCCGTTACAGAAGTCAGAACAAAAATAGTTTGTTTTTGAATATATCCCCTCATACGTTAATGTAAAGTAAAAAAGGATGTATTTCGTTTTTTTTATTTTGATAATACGAGCAAGTGACTTGCCACAATTTAATTTAGAACGCATTAATCCGCCGCTTACGTGTGTGTTGTCTGAACGCAACATATCGAGCGTTAATTATCCAAAATTCTTATTAGAAAAACTCAAACCTCCATATCTTTACAAAAAATGATAAAGTTGAAATATCTTCTTAAGTTTGAGCTCAGTAAAAAACAAAATTTTCAGATAGTTTACAAAAATTGCGTCAAAATGTTTAGTTAAGAAATCGAAATTTGACTGAATAAAAAAAGTACCCCAAGCATGTTTATTCCGCCTTTCCTTCGAAAGTCGGAACAAAAATTGTTCCAATTAAGAGAATGCGCATGTGAAAAAATTTCTAGTCCAACGCCTTCACATACTGCTCGTATCAAGTAAGCCTCTGAGATTTCGACTCTAGTTTCAGACATCTGACGCATGGGGCAGATCTACGATTTTCTCGAGAATGGATTTCCAAAAAAAGGCGAAAATTTTTTGTTTTAATTCGACCAAATTGATTTTCTGAGCTCTTCTAAATCACTATAAATGCCCCATTTTGACTAAATTTTTATGCGCCGCAAGCAAAATTTTGATGAAACAGGCCAAAAAAGCGTTTAAGGCAATTTTTGGAAAATTTTGGCCAAAAAATAGCGTTTTTTCGGCGCGCGCCTTTTCATAAAATCAACTATTTTTTTGAAAACTTCCACACACATCTAATAGAAAAATTACAAAGTGATATTTTTAGAAAATAATTATTCGGGGGGGGGGTCATTCAGCGGTCAACTTGTTGATCGAAAACTAGTGCGCATTTATTATTCCAAATCGATCTAGTTGTCAAGTTCCAACCACTTTTCATTTCCTTAAAACTAAATGCTGTTTTAGCTCAAAATATCCAAATTTTTTCAAATGACACAAGTAAAATTTGCAAAAAAACTTTAAATTGAAAAAATAAAGTAGCCTGGATGAAGAAACACCAAAAATTTAAACGAAAACAAAACAACAACAATTTCAATGAAGCGTGCAGTTTGAATTATTAGGTGTTTTAGATGAAAACCATATATTGCAAAGCTACAAACATTCGTTGATTTTTCCATCAGAATATCGAACAGAGTACAACACAAAATTTATTCCAGCTGCGGTTTTTTTCGATAGTTTGCCTTATTTATGTTTTTCTTTGTACGCTTAATTTCCGCTATTGCTTACAATCTAAATCGTTAAGAGCATAAAATTCTGGCTCGAAAATCAATTCAAACTGAATTAACGCAAGCCAATTGGTCTTAAAAACTTCTTCATCTCTGCACAAATAAAATCAGCTGACCATTTACACTAACTGTGGATTTTTTTTAAGATACAAACCAGAAAAGGTATGAATGATTCTTAATTCCTATTTCGAAGTTTTATCAGAAGTGTTCAAACAAATAACAAAGAAATGTAGTCTTCCATCGATTATTGCTTGAATCTGCGTTAGAGATGAGAGTTTACGAGAGAAAAATTAACAATTTTTTTTCCGTAAAATTATTTCCCTTTTCACTTGATGAGCCATAAATTACCTGTATCGCAACTCATCAACTCAAAAGACATTCTTTTTATTTTTTGTGTACTCCCACTCATGAGCAGTCTTATTTTTTACGCATGAAAAAAATTCTGTGGTCTTGCAACGCCTCCGAAAGCAACAATTTCGGACTTGTTAGCGCTCAAAAATTTTCTAATTAAAGTTGGAAGCAAAAAAACGGATGCAGCTGATGAGTTCTCTCTTTTTTATGTTAAATTGTTGCTTCTCATTTTTCTATTAAAAATTTTGATAACAATACAACCAGACTATTAATGTTAGGCTATACGTGCGGACCGACCTTTTACCAGACCGACCTTTTACCAGAAAAGTTATAACATAGACCTTTTACCAGACTCGATAAACAAATTTGATTGACAGATGTAATGACGCCGTTTAGTCTAGTTAAAGACAATGTTTTCACGGTTTCTCAACAAAGTTTTGTTTGTTCTAGCCGCTTCCTTTTCCACTAATTTTAAACTTATACTAATTGAGTTATTGCATTGTGGTCTGGTAAAAGGTCGGTCTGGTAAAAAACGGGCTAGGTCTTTTACCAGACCGACCTTTTACCAGACCGATCTTTTACCAGAGCACAATGTAATATATCAATCAAGATAAATTTAAGTTAGTGGAAGATTCAAAAAGGAAGCGGTTAGAACAAACAAAACTTAGCCGAGAAAACCGCAAAATCATTGTCTTTGACCAGACTAAACGGCGTCAATACATCTGTCAGTCAAATTTGTTTATCGAGTCTGGTAAAAGTCCATGTTATAACTTTTCTGGTAAAACGTCGGTCTGGTAAAAGGTCGGTCCCCGTAAAAGGCCTAGCCCCGCTGTACGTATAGAGAAAGCGTGTAACAACCAATGACGAACAAGACTAGTCGTATCAGGATGAGGCCCTGATTGTTCCGACTGCCCTTCAAGGTAGTTGAAGTAGTTATATTGTAAAAAAGATTTAGCATAAAAAAATCAGAACTTCATTGAGTTTGCAAATATTTCTGCACACGCAGTGTCAATTGCAAATTGTTGTGTTTCTCATTTAGTAACGCGTTGTTTGACCCAAGTAATTTAACTCAATCAGTTTTGGTTGATTTATTCGCCGTTAACATAAAACTGACTTCTGCTACGCGTGAAAGAAAACTGTAATATTAGTGCAAACAAGACTGCTCATATATGAAGACAAAACACTGAATGTCCGGAATGCCCCTTAACTGGTTGCCCCTTAAAAATAACCCTAGAATATATATTCCTCAACTTTTTTGAAAGTCGGAACAATACCAACACAAATTAGCAAGTTTCAAACCGCCAAATTAGCAAGTTTCAAACCATCATAACTTTACAAATCTATCCCCCCCCCATTGTAATGGGGGGATTGCTAAATTGTTAACAAGATCCCAGCACAAGTGATGAATCTGTTTAGCTTTGAGCTAATATGGCATAATATCGTTCTGGAACCTGATCTAAACTATATTTTATGATTGGATAAATTGGATATATTACCACTGTAAAGTATTTAATATTAACCAATCATAATCCATCTAACTAACAACCCACTTATTTGTAAGTGCTGAAATTACTTGTAATTTCAGCACCAGAGAGATTTGAATTTAACTTAGAAATTAGTTGTCTCTCCAAGAGAACTTCAGCAGCCGCAATAAACCAGTATACCCTAGATCTATTGAGCCTAGCAGAGACTAGTTAAACACCCTGAGACTAGAAAGTATAAGAGTAAGATTAGGATCGGTATTAGACTAAGAAGTTGCACGAATCTATCCGGCCGAAAATAAGATAGCGTGACGAGCAGACGATGTACCCTATCCGAAATTACTCTATGAGTTAACCACATCGGTTCTAACTCAGTTCTCTGTACTAAAGTCAGTCAAAATTGCTTGCTGAAAAAGGGAAATTTATTTGGAGAAACAAAATTTTTCTTCATTTTCTTCGGAACAATAGGGAAGTCGGAACAATGAACGGTTTTGATTGATATCAAAAAATATTAGGTCTAGCGCCAACTAAATTGGCAAAACAAAAGAAAACGAGGGAATCAAGCTTGAACCTTTTGTTCTCCTTTCAGAGCCCTCATTCTACTCCCAATACTGCACTTCCCTCTCTCGCTCAACGGGGGGCCTCATCTCCGCAGACTCAGACAGGGCATCAGGCATGAACAACCCAGCCGGGTACCCTTCCCCCACCTTGCAGGAGGCCCACTTGATTCTGTCCAGTGATGCGGAACTGAAGATGGCAATTTTGTTAGGCACCACTGCCTTTCTAGGAAGTCTCGTCTTTATCAGTTGTATTATGTTGGTGGCCACTAACCAGCAATTGAGAAAGGTCAAGGCGGAAAAGATGATGAGTGAAGACTTGCAGAGGAATGCCGTACTCGCCACATGCAAGTTCGATAACGTACACGGTCAGTGCGGTTAACAGTAACGTTTGACCAAAATAAATTTTTCAAATCGGAGTGTAATGGAAAAAAAACGGAATACACTGATAAACGGAACAATAAACGCAGTACAGTTTATCACAAAATTGTATTTAGACTTGGAGGCTTGAACTTAGTACCAATCAAAGCTCGGATACCATTTCTGCAAATCAAACTGAATTATTCAACATTCAATCATTAAGAGGTAGTTCAAGTAAAACACCTGAAAAAATTGAAAAAATAAAAAAAATTGAGTAGGAAGTTTCGTTTTAGTTCGAAATGAAAAAAAAATACGTCCGAAATGTTTCGAAACTTGATTTTTTTCTTGATTTTGATTTTCAAGTGCTGATATTGCTTTACTTTTTTTATCAGCTGAAACAAAATGCGACTACATTCGTCACTGCCAAACATTGCCAAATGAGAGACACCGAATTTCTAACAGCGCCATAATCAACGACGACTATCTGGACTACACACAACACAGACGCCAGTCTCCGGAACAGGAAGCGAGTAGTATCACTAATGGGTCGGCCAAACCACTCTTATACGACCAGCAAAACTAGAACTATGTATTCCCTATTTTATTGACAAACAATGTTTTATTTCTGTTATTTTTGAATTTTATTATTGATTTAGTTTTAAAAAGATCAATTTTGTAATAAAATTTTAATTTTGCGATTTTTTTCTAATTTTTTTTTCAAGGTAACTCTTCGTGTCTGTTTTCTGCAAGCAAAATCCGTTAAAACTTCAGTAATTTGTCTGAAAAAAACGACTACAAAAATTTGGTGTTACACATTGTTCGGGTAATTGCAAGATAGCCGTTTTGATATTAAACTTGAGATATATACACGCGAATTATAGCTCATCAGAGCTTTTTTTCCAATTTAACCGTCAAATTTTAAATATTCGTGAATTAAATTACAGAAAAATAATGTTTGTAACTTTTATTCATCAAAAAATTGTTTCTTCGGTCATAAATGAGCTTCGGTCACCATAGTTACTGCTGTTTGCGGCGCTAGAAGTGACAGTTGGGTCGTCGTAAATTGATCCCCTGTAATCTGGGGTCAAATTCTGACTTTCAAATCTTTGTCGAGTGCTCGGCCTTTTCCTTGATCTTGTAGTGTCTCGTCTAGAGCGTGATGAAGGCCGAACGGGGGAGGCAGCTCGCTGTTTTTCTCTTCCGCTCTCGAATGAGTTCAATCGACTACCATTACTGGAGATTTTACTTTTAGACGGCTTTTGACCATGGTTCAAGTAAACACTGGGACTTTTATCGTATGCTGATTGTCCTGAAAAAATCACTGGTATTTTTGTCGACTAATTTCCATCTTTATTTTCAAACTTATGGCAAAAAAAACGAAGTTTTGACTATTCTCAGGTTTTCAAATTTGGTATTGCTGAAGAAGGAACAAAGGAAAAATAACGCGGAAGAAATAGTCATTAAAAATCCAATTTGATCACGAACTCACAAACTTAATTTTTCATTGCACAAGAAAGAGCACTTTGACGACTTACTTTTCTCTTTCTTTGACTTTTTGGCGCCCCTCGAGCGATTGGAAACAGAAAGACTCCGCGTGTTACTTTTACTCCTCTTTTTCTTCTTCTTCGCCTGTTTGGTCTTCTTGGTCCCCCCATGGTCTCCGCAAAGCCCCACCCTGTCCTTCTTGCAGGGACCACACCCGAGACAGCAGCAGAGTGCCACTCCCACTCCTATGCCGATGGCCAGGAACACAAACACGAGCACACAGATCAGCACTATGATCCACTCGTTGCTACAACAAACATTCGAATGAAGAAAAGAGTCTAGTCGATGGCGGTTGGTTATCTCTTGCAAGATATCTAATAATAATTGAGGTTTCTGCAATTTTGAGGCACTTAATGGTAAGGCGTTCACTTTGAAATCGTGGCAATGATAGTGTGTGAGGACGAGCTCTCACTTTACATCGAGTTTCAGGTCTACCACAGCTTGACCAAAATCGGCTGCAATAGTGGTATACAAGAAAGTTCTAGGCGCAAAAGAAACGGCCTTGAGTCGCAAAAAAAAGCTTGGCTTAACAAAAAAACAGTCTGGAATGTGGGGAGATAATACAAACGGACTATCCCCGACAGGACTGTTAAGGCCTACTGATAGCTCCTCTGCGATTCGCAGGAGCCACATTATGATTTATTCGCAGAGGATCTACAAAAAACTATTCAGCCTGTCGAAGCATAGTCCGTTTCTCTCATTTCTACAGATTCCAGACTGAGTTGTTTTGCTGAGCAAAGCTTTTTTTGCGCCTCAAGGTCGTTTTTTTGCGTCTAGTACTTTCACGTGCTACCACTATTGCAGCCGTAAGCGTTCAGGTTATAGACCTGAAGCTAGAGGTTAAGTGACGTCCTCACACACTATCATTGCCTGGCAGAGGATTGCTTTCACGATCTGACGATCTTAAAGCGAACGCCTTACCACTATACTAAGATAAATTTCCGCGATGATCGACAAGTGATGAAGTTCCGCGATGAACGCAGCGTCACAAAAATTGTCACAGTTAAAAGAAAACTCCATTTCTTGGTAAAATAGAAAAAAAAATAATTTTTTTCAAGACGTTTTCATTATTTTCTTTTTATTTTTTTTCTGTGAAGTTTAGTTAAGTAAAGGGCAATTGAATTAGGTAAAAAAATCAAAAATGAAATTTCATTACATCTAAAATAACGTAGAAAAAATGGTTGAGCAGTGGTGAAATAGTTACGTCTCCGCCTATCAATCGAAAGGTGGGATGTTCGAAGCCCACCATGATCCGTGCTCGTTGCTTGAGGGTGAGGCAACATTACCCAGCCCAGAAAAATAACCTACAAAACTGCATGTAGTTCTTAAACAGGGGCACAACAGCGGCTCGCCGTGATGAGCTGTACAGCTCGTATGTTGGTCCTATCCCTCTTGGATAAATGATCGTAAAAAAAGTTAGATAAGATTCATTTTTAAAATTTTCATGTTGTGTTTCAGTTGAGGATATAGGATTTTCTCGAGGTTGGGGAAACTGATTTTCAAAACTTTTTCAAAAGTGTTGACTTTTTTTAGTCGACCAAATTGATTTTCCGGATACTCCCAGAACACTCTGAAAACACTATTTCACGCCACATGCAAATTTTGAAGAAGAAAAAAACAAATCAAAAGGCCGTTTTTGGGCACTTTTCAGAATTTTGACTACAAAAAATTGCGTTTTTTCAGCGCGCACTACACTTCAAATTTAGAATAGTCGGCTAAAAATGGATATCATAAAACCAAATAGGGGACCCTTTGTTTGGTGAGGGGGTGGAATCCCTGAAGAAGAAGGGGTATCCAACCACATATTTGCAATATTTGACCCTCTACCAGCTTTTTGAGGTAGTCAATATAAAAAAAACAAATCCTACGCCATATCTTCCTCCCACTTCGTGAAAAGCGGTCGGGAAAATGAATGTAAGTCGCTCTGAAGTGTCAAAATTTTTTGAATGGGAGTGAAGATATTGCAAAAAAAAACGCATGGAAAAAAAAAGGAAAAAAGGCAAGAAGGCTGTTTTTTTTCTCACCCGGGGTCGTCACTCTGGTCTTCTGTGAACACATCCAACTCGCACTTGTTGTTCGCATCATCACCTCTGTGACAGTGCAATCTACCCAAGCAGTCATCTATATCATCACATGCCTGCATAATATTGCAGAAAAACTAAGCTGATTGAAGAAAAAAATAGTTTTGACCAAGCTTGTTTTGATTATTTTCTAGTTTTATATTTTTGTCAATTCATCTGTTTATATTCATTATCATTACCTGTGAGGCTAACTTCCTTCGCGTCTTCTTTGAAAACCGTGGTTATGAATTGTAAAACCTAGATTTTACGTTTTATAACCATGGTTTTCAAGCACGATGTGTAGGAATCTAGATGATTGTGAATGTTAAAAAGAAATTGATCGAAAATTAGGATATATGAAGCGTACAATCCAAGATCCTGCAAGAAATACTTTGTAAATATTTCAAATCTTTCTTTTTGTCAAGCAATTTGAAAACGTTCCGCCAAAACCTTGATAAAAACGTAAATATTCAGATACAAATATCTCAAAAAATGTTGCGCAGAGCGAAACCATCCAAAAAAGTCATTTTCTACTTGAAAAAAACTTTGCCTAAGGTGAAAAACAACGACTTTTTTGTCCGCGAATAGAAATGTCGTTGTTTTTCACCTTAGACAAAGTTCTTACAAGTAGTAAATGAGTTTTTTAGATGGTTTCCCTCTGCGCAACATTTTTTGAGCTGTTTGTATCTGAAATTTTACGTTTTTACACCGCAAAAAGCGAAAGTTTAATCAAACAGAAAATGAACGAGGAGCACGTTTTTGCCAAAATTTTCTTTCTTCTTATTTTTTGCACTAAATTTCATGCGAAAACAACAACAAAAAAAAATCTTTTAGAATTCGACAACATCATTTTAGAAAAAACGGATTAAAACTTCTGGTCTATGGAGGTCAACCCGGGTATTTATAGGGTTGGCAATTTGTAATTGGGTGCCAAGGAGGATAATTAAATAGATCCAAAATTGCTCCTCTGGAAATTTTCATGCATAGAGAAGTCACTTTTTTAATATAAAAATTGGCAGAAAAAATACATAATTAATTACCGGTAAATTCTGAAAATTTGTAAGGACCGGATTACAGGTAATTGTACAATAAGCATTTTCAGGTAGAGGACGTTAAATTTGTTTTATTGACATAATTATGTTAACGGGCAATCGAGCTCCGTTTGAGCTATGTTTTGCTGGAGATTTTCTAAAAATTTTTATTGCCGCGCTGAAGAAAACTCATTCAAAATTATGCCTCAGTTTATGAGACTAAAAACGAATATTTTGAAGTCCTTTTATCAAAGTTTACACAAAGGGGAAATAGAGCTTCGCAACACTTGAGATGAATTGAATATCGCCTCTAGCACATGAACCGATGAATGAAAAAAAAGCAAAAAAAGTTCAAAAAACCATTTTAAAATATAAATGTAGCAAAAAACCGAAATTTTGGAGACCAATTAACTGCATTCTAATAAAATTTACAGAGAGGCGAAGCAAAGCTTTGCATTACATGCAATAATATGCACACATAACATGACAACTTAACCGACCGAAATAGATAAAACCTTAGAAACTTTAAAAACTGATCTATCAAAAAACTTCCATAATTTGCCTTTATTTTATGTTGAACAGTAATTTTTTCCAGGGTAATACGCCCCGAAGTAATACAATTGACGGTCAAACAAACATCAAAACAAAACTTACAAAGCAGTAAGAAAGCCGACAATTCTTGAGCAGACACAGGTTGCGCCGAAAAAAAAATGTTTTTCTTTAAACTGGAAAAAAGATCATGAGCCCCCTCAAAGTAATTTGATGAAACTTATTGCTCTCAAACGTCCCCAGAAGAGGCCTCTCAGCATTATATAAAAAGCCAAAATCATTAAAACTAAATTAAAAAGAAATAAAAAAACGAAAAAACTGATTTGGTGAGCCATAAAGTAAGTTTTTTACGACGCATCCAAACTGATAAACATAGAAGCATAAAAGTATATTTTGCTCTCCAAACTAGGCGATATATT